GTAGTTGACCGGCACATGTATGTTCGGATTTAATCGTGTCTCCCCACGGCCGCCCCTTCCATTTACTCGGGAAAGCTCGGAGCCTTGGTAGTTCGATAATCGGTACACTTTGACCGGCCGGTAGGCATGAACGTAGCGAGCGCGTATATGAAATAATTCATGCACTATAAATACTTACAACAATCACGTATTACGAAAATCACTAACTAATCCACTAACGTTCGTTTCGAAACTAGCTAATCGGCTACATGCCCCATATCCAGTTATTGTAAATAGTGACGTAAAATATATGGAGTGTAGTCTACTCTACACTCCATAGTGAAATAGAGCCCACGCCTAATTGACATTGACAGTTACAGTTGACATATGTCATATGAAATAGCCAGATAGCAAAGACGTAGATAGAGCAAAGAGCACTGAACTGACGAGTAAAGAAAAAGGTCAAAATGAAAAGACAATTATATGCAGTTATTGTGCGAATTTAGAGCGATTGTTATTGCGTACAAAAAATATTAATATTTATTATACTGATGGTGAATTGAATTTAATAATCAACATTAATAATGAACGTTCAAAGAATAATAAATAGAGTGTGCGGGCAGTTTTTGATCACTAACATTAAAACTGTATGTACATTTAGTAAAATAAATTATAAATTCATAATTGATAACGATAAAACCAATGCCATAGTTCGCACTGTAGATTTTTGAATTTAGTATTCTAAAATTTTTTTTTTCAGTCTGTCTTTTCAATACGATTAAAACACACCAAAAATGATCTTGAAAATCATCAAACAAAAATTATGGGTCGAGGTTTACCTGAAAAGAAACCTTTACCGGGCGTTAAAAGTATAATTCTTGTTGCATCTGGAAAAGGAGGTGTTGGAAAAACCACTACTGCTGGTAATAAATTACTATTTTGCGTGTGCAATATCTTAGGAATAAAGATAAGTCTAGACTTATCTAATGGTGATTCTAGATTAAGTGTAAATTAAAAATATTAATAAACCACTATAAATCAAAGAAAATTGTTCAGACTATTTATCGATTTTATTTATTATCATTTTTAATTCTTAGTACTAAGTTTATTAAACCTAACAGAAGGGAACCATTATAAACTAACTATTTACTAAAAATAGATTATAATTACAGCCTATCCGAAGTCCACTGCTGAATATCTAGGGCTCCTTTATCTTGCCCCATAAGGCTCTATATTAACCATAATTTAACTACAACATTATGGTGTAAAAAAATTTGGTGCTTAGACTTATTACTTCATATTTAAGTAACAGAACTCAAAAAGTTGTGATCAATGGTAAAGGTTCCTCCAGATCGGTAGTATCAATGGGGGTTCCTCAGGGCTCGATTCTTGGCCGATTCCTGTTCTGAATCTATATTAATGACTTACCTTATGTTGTAGCGGACAATCACGATATAGTATTATTTGCTGATGATAACTCTTTAATTTTCAAACTCAAACGGCAGTCAATTAATTATGACAATGTAAATAATGCTTTCAATCAAAATTAGTACATTGGTTTAACGCCAACAATTTGCTCTTAAACGGCAATAAGACAAAATGTATTATTTTTACAATACCTAATGTAAAACATTCAAATATCAATGTGCTCTTAAATGGGGAGGAGTTGAGTCTTGTGGATACCACTGTTTTTCTTGGTATTACTATTGACACAAAACTTAATGGGGCCCCCATATATCTAAATTAGCAAGCAGACTTACATCTGCAGCATATGCTGTAAGAAAGATTAGAAGTCTCACAGATGTTGAGACAGCTAGATTAGTGTATTTTAGTTACTTTCATTGCGTAATGTTTTATGGAATTTTGCTATGGGGTAATGCGACTGATATTGAAGCTAAATATGTTTTGCAAAACAGAGCCGTACCGGCAGTGTGCCTCAGAGAAAAATTTAAAGAAATAAACATATTAACTTTGGCATCACAATATATTTATGAAAATTTAATGTATGTACATAAAAACATAAATATCTTTAATAAGAATAAGGATGTTCATACTTTAAAAACTAGGAACAAACATAAGCTTATAATGCCAGTTACTAGACTCCATAGAATCAGTAATTCATTTATGGGGCAATATATACACTTTTAAAACAAAATCCCAGAACATGTTCAAAGTTTTTCAATAGAAAAGTTTAAAAGTTTTATTAAAGAAAAACTGTACAAAAAGGGTTATTATAATATCAAGGAATACATAAATGAAAATAACCCCTGGGAATAAGGTGATCGCCACCATGCTAGTTCTTAGAAAATTTATTTCAAAATTGTATAAACAAAATTATTGTTAAGTGAAATATGCTTAAAAAAAGTCCTGCTGGGTTTCTTGGTGGTTCTTCCCTGGACAGAGGTATTTTGTGAACCAGTGGTAAATAAAAAATGACTTTCAATAAGTATTATGTAATAATCAATATAGAATAAAAAATCATTCTAATTCTAATTCCATAGTTGCCAAGCTTGGCAGGCAGCTTTGCAACTGCAATTTTTTATTATATTGCTAAATAAAATATGGAATTACTTAATATATTATTTTTGCAGTTAATCTTGCGTGTGCAATGAAAGTGATAAAACCAGAAAAAGAAATAGGTCTCTTAGATGCAGATGTTTTTGGTCCGTCTGTTCCTCTCATGATGAACATTAGTGGAGAGCCTATGCTCAATGATGATCATCTAATAGAACCACTGCTTAACTATGGTGTTAAATGGTATCACTTACTTATATTATATTTAGTGATAAGATTTTTTTTTATTTTTTTTTTGTTTTTTAAAAAAAAGTTACCTCCACACTAGGATTTTCTCCTGTATCGTAGAGGCAGTTTACATACATAAATTGCACAAGGACAAACATCCAGACCCGGAACAATTATTTGTAGGCCATACAAATACTTGTTCCTTGTGGGATTCGAACCCGAGGCCCCCAGCGTTGCAACTCATTGCTAAACCACTGCGCCACGGAGCCGTCACATGCACATGTAATTATATTTTACCTAAATTTTATTTAGAAATTTCAGTCTGTCAATTTTTAAAGTTATTTAAATGTTATATATGTATAAATATAATAATAATGTTATATATTTCCCTCCGCTTGTCGTAGGTTGCCTTTAATTTCTGAGTTTTAGGGCAAGAAAGTGTACACCCGTGTGTGTGTGTGTGGACTTTACATGTCCCCCAAATATTATTTCATTTCCTTTTCATTTCAAACATGTAGCTTTCCTCATGATGTTTCCGTCACCACCAAGCACATAGTAAATTAGCATTTAAAATAGCAATTATGAATTAAAGTTTTTGCTGTTAGCATATTGTGAAAATTAAGGTGAGCGCTTAGATTTTTTTGTAGTGTTAATAAAAACGGGATTGAAAGGAAATTTGCGCAAATGGACCCACATTTTTTTTAAATTAATGATGCATTGTGCTTATGCCAGTTTAAGTCAATTATAAGTTTTTTTTTTATAAGTGACTGCTGTGGCCCATAGAGATCTACATCTATACTCGTTTGCGAATCAAAATGCAGATGTGTTATCACCAGTGAGGACTAAGATGTAATGCCTCTTTTCCAGTAAAAAGCGTCTATTATACAATAAGGGTATAAGGGTAGTTTATACAATGTTGTTAAAAAGTTTCTTTTAGGAACATTACTCCTATCAGTTGGTCCCAAAATACATGCATTCTCGTCATCCCCTTTTGCTATATGCTAAACAATTGCAAAAGGGAGAAGCAATTAAAGAGAGTATGACTTTCCATCCCAAGTTTGTCTGGGTCTTGTGACTAAAAAATGTAACCACTGTGTTACTTGCCTAATATGTTGTACTGTGTTCGTGTTGTGGAGACCATGGGCTAGCCACCAATATCTTATTTTACAATTTTCCCATCTGAACCCATATTTTTTGGCTACACCTGTTGCTCTTAGGACTCTGCTTCCCTCGGGGATTACAGGTATGACGCTATGTATGTATCTACCTACCTACCTTTCGAAAGTTTGTCAATAACAGTAATATGTCAATGTTACATATATTTAATAATTCAAATTATATTTTTCAGTATGTCAATGGGCCTTTTAGTTTCTGGTGAAAATGCAGTTGTGTGGCGTGGATTAATGGTTATGCAAGCCTTGGACAGACTTACGCGGCATGTAGCATGGGGCCCACTTGACTGCCTTGTGGTCGATACACCCCCTGGCACAGGAGACACACATTTGTCACTTGCTCAGAACTTGCCAATTGATGGTAAATATTTTTACACATTTCTTATGAAAGTATAATGATAAATGCACCAACTTTTTTAGTGAAGTGTAGTTCATCTGCATGTGGTGTCCAATGACTGAGGCTACAAAACATGCAAGAAAAATAGATTGGGAAAGCAGAAAGCAGTGTTAGTAATGCAGGCTCATAAAACGGAAATGAGGCTCATCATTTTGATTTCATTCATAGATTACGTTTGTAACAATAATTTACGTTATGGTTATAACAAATGTTGCCATTAGCAGGTTATTCTGTTTATCCACCCTAAGATGTATAGTACCTTATTGCACTAATAATAAAGTATATATTTAACTTATTTTACCTAGGGTGGGTAAACAGAATAACCCCCATTAGTTAACTCATCCTAAGTTCGTGTTGTAGCGTTTTGTGTGGCAACAGCATAATAGATTTTACTACCTCATTTTGTCCTATATTAGTCATAAAAAGAGACTGGGAAATACGAGGAATCTTATGCATTCCATTAGCTGGTGGCATAACCGTCTTGTATGCGCCAGATGTAAAAAAAACTCAAATTGCTGATGCTGTCTGGTAAAGCAGTTGTCAATCTGTCTGCCAAACGTGACAAGGCAAATTGTCTCTACAATTAGAGACCCATGTCCAGGAGTGCACAAATACAAGCACCAGTTTTAATAGGCTGATGACGTATATGTTGCTGCAGTAGCATGTAAGTATTTGATCATGGGGATAAAATGGCTATATAAAGGCTTGGGCAAAAAAGTATCGATATTTCTTTTAAAGTATTGAATTCCTATCTATTTCAATATATTTTAAATATATTAATGGACAAAACATTTAACAACAAAAAAAGAGCTGCAGTATTCATGTGGTTGTCGTTTTTTTTTTTCGTCGTCCAACCGTCTGTAATACGGATCTTATCCTTACATCATGCAAATGATGATGATATATCGATATTTATCACACGATATACATGTATCGATGCTGTTTAAAAATACTGATTCAATATATTTTCTTCCCTTGCCCATCCCTAGGAGGGCGGCACTGAAAATTTCGCGAATCAAGACACAACATTAATATTTAAAAATGTATTTATTGCTTTTCGAAGTATTCTCCGCGAAATTTGACACATTTTTGTATACGATGGAACCAATCATTGAAGCAACCATTCCATTCGGAAGTTGGGGTCTCCAAAATGGCCGTTTTGTAGGCGTCCACAGCTTCTTCAAGTGATGAAAATCTCTGTCCACGCAATTTAATGTTTATTTTAGGGAAAGTATAGAAATCATTAGGACTTAGGTCGGGGCTGTACGGCGGATGGTCTAATAATTCTATGTTTTCTTGCTCTAAAAACTTTTGTTCTGTGTGCGGTGTGAGAACTCGCATTGTCGTGATGGAGGACGATGTGGCGGTTGCAGTTCTCTTTACGGAGTTCAGAAACGACCTGTGGCAAACAAATGCTAGCATACAATTCTGCATTAACAGTTCTTTGTCCCTCAAGAGGAATAGTCGTAACATGGCCGGTTTAGGAGACAAACGTGGCCACCATTTTTTTTGCAACACTCCGTGAACGAACAATTTTTGTTGGCTTTAACTCATTTCCGAACACCCAAACTCGTGACTGGTTTTTTGTTTCGGGTTCGTACGCGTATATCCAGGATTCGTCATCTGATACGATGTTGTATACAGCATTTGAGGATCCTGCGTGGAATCTTTCGAGAGTTCTGACGCACCAAGTAACGCGAGCCGTTTTTTGCTCTTCACAGAGCAAATGCGGTATCCATCGGGAAAACAACTTTTTTACACCTAATTGTTCATGCAAGATTATTTGTATTTGACTCATGGCAATATCTAAAGTTGCCTGAATTTCGCGGTATGTCACATGTCGATCTTCCTCAATCAGCTTAAGCACAGCATCAACGTTTTCTTGGGTGACTGCAGTTTTGCACGACCTTGACACGTCCACGTTAAAATTCAGCAAACCAGCGATAAATTTTGGTTTTGGATGGGGCTTCATCACCAAATGCAGAAATCATCCGGTCAACACACTGTTTTTGTGTTAAACCACTTCGAAAGTCATAATAAATCATTGCTCTTGAATTTTCTCGAGTCAATTCCATTTTCTCAACGACTAAACAAGTTTGACAAAACCTTGTGACAAGACCGAGAATCTTTTTTTAAATAAATAAATGGTATTCGATTTTTAAAACCTAGGACTATTCAATTTAAAAAAATTTAATATGACAGGAACAGTGGAAATATCCCATTCCCGATCTTTTAGTGCAGCCCTCGTACATAGGGACACAATCATCTGTATCTTTACAGCTCATTTAAAGTCCACTCAACAACACAAGCCTTATAGATTACCACAAAGTAAGGTTCTGAATCACGAGCTTCCTACTACTTCCTGTATGCCTCACCGAGCCTTGCTCTACCTAGCGGGGGAGTAACCGTACACTTCCTGGTATGAGCCTGCAATTTCAAGTATCACTTGAGCATACTGATACAGAAGGCCATGACAGTTATTTATGTTGTAATGTGGACTTGGGAGATGTTAGGATTGCACAGCGACCCAATGTTTTACTCAAATTATATTAAGAAAATTGAGATTGCTTTCTTTTTTTAGGTGCAATTGTTGTTACAACACCTCAGTCAGCAGCTCTACAAGTTACAAAACGAGGTGTTAATATGTTTGAAAAATTAAAAGTTCCTATAATTGGCCTGGTGGAGAACATGTCCCATGCTATGTGTCCAAAATGTGGTACGAAAAACTTCATATTTGGTAATGAAACTAAAAAGACTGCTGACGAAATGGGCCTTGAGATCATTGAAAGTTTCGAAGTGGATTCAAACATGTCCGAGTGTATAAATAGTGGTAAGCCAGCGATATATGCACTACCGGACAGCATCCATGCAGAGAAGTATAGACAATTAGCAAACAAAGTGTTCAAGTATATAGCCAATAAGGATAATAAGCAGGCAAAAGCTAAGGAGCAGTAGGTCTCATTAAACATATACAAGTAGTTGTTGAATTTCATTTATTTTAAATATTTTACAAATATATCTGTTATATAAAAGATGTTTGTTTGACTTACATAGTATCATATAACATTATGGCAAATAGCTCAGATTTCCCTGTCACGGTTGTGCGCGGGTTATACGCTTCTTATTATGAAATAAAAGATGAAATGTCATTTGATATTTATTGGGAACAATTTACCTGAAATTCGACTTCAATTAACAAAGTGGAAAAAAAATACTATAAAAATATTGTCTTTTAAATAATTTTTTTGAAGAAAATCTTAATTTGCTAAATGATTTAGGAAACAAGCGATAATAATAATTTCTTGGCTCTTATGGCTACTGGAATATATTCAATTAAAATTAACAATATATTATGTTCTCTTGTTGTTTGGGAATTAAAAACTATATTAATAAAGTAAAGTCACTTTAGTCAATAAGTACAAGAGAAGAACATATTCATTTATACTGACATGGAAGGATTCTGAATATAAGCACTAAAGAAAAAAAACCTTGCTTTGATCAGCGTCCAACAAAAAAAACAATCCTGGAACATATCACATAGTATACGATAAAACAAAACAATTTCAGGAACTGACATAACTTTTTGTAATAATTTGCTTACAGATCATATTGTTGTTCCACGTTAAATATTATGTAAAAATTCTTATAAAAATGACTTATGGCATTAAATGTTCCATTCGTCGTAACCAAATAAACAATTGACATAACAAGGATCTTTTAGTGAACATTTATTGGGCATATTAAATAAAAAGGGTATTAAACTAATATAAAGTCTTGTAAATTACATTATTTGTAAGTATATAATGTAATTTACATGCAACCATTCTTGTCAATTACATAACATGATAGAGGCATTACGTAAACAACAGCGTTTAGAGCACATTAAGGTAATAAAAATAGCATGTCACAAAAATTGCAAATTACATATAAATTATTTTATTTACCTTTTCCATATTAGGCAGATACAGTTACAGAAACATAAAAAAAATTGTCTAATGTATGAGTGCATCATTTCATTCTCAAAGTATTCAATTTTAATGTATATAGTAAATAAATGATGTTCCAAAATTTCTTTTTTCAAACATATTGCAGCTCAGTTTATTAAACGTTTCCTACATTTCTATTGAATGTACACTTGTAATTTTTTTTTTCAACCATTTAAAATTTACTTCTTAATAGAGATGGAACTGGTACTTCACGGTCAAATTATACATTTAGGCATATCATGTGTGTTCATTTAATATTTCTATGATAATGTTTTGCACTATTTTGATTGCAAGTTGTATAATTATAACTTGACATCAATCGCCGTATTACAAAGGTAATATATAATAAGTCTCAGGTTTAAACGGGAGTCTGTTTCATTATGAAAGTCTCATAGAAAATATATGAAATAAAATATAAAGTATGAATTTGACAGCAAATGTCTATTTCCGCGAAGACTAAACTTAGTCTTAAAAACCGCCATAAAAAAGAAAAAAGAAGAGGAAACTTAGTCTTCTTTCGTGAATAAGACTTCTTATATTTTAACTCAAAACTGTCAATCAACCACACGTTTTGTAACAGGAAAAATTATGTAAATTATTATCAGTAGTACTATATATATATACTATACTATACTATGGGTACCCATCCACTGTGATCTATCTACTTAATAAATTAAAATGTCTATTATATTATTATATAGTAGACATTTTAATAAGTTAAATCTGTACTCTAGATATAGATTATTTAAAAAGGAATGAAGATGAAGCACTCATACTGTAGAATATAACACAGTTCTATATTTTATCCGCATATTTACACAACACCAGAGAATTATGGTCCGCAGAGCCGCTGCACCATAACAACCTTACTTTAATATCAAGAGTCCTTGCATTGCCTGTTTGAGGCGCTCGTTTTTACCATTTCTTTTTATGCTCGTCCATACTGACACCTCCTGGCCCAAGGTAGACTATCATGAGGAGACCACCGATTACCGACAGGGTCTGTAAAATACAAAAACAATTATTTTTATATTAATTCTTAACATACAAGATTTTTTTTCTGTATTGGTTATAATAATAATGGGTGTTAGTGGGTTTATATTTGGCCCAGTGCATGTTGTGATAGATTGTGGATGGATCATGGATATTTAACTTCACTGCTGAGTAGGCGTCGGCGAGGATCAAACCCGAGTTGTTAGCATACTATGATATTCATCCCAGACTTCGTTACTACCATGGCTCTTAATCATATTATTATGTATTGAATATAAAAATTTTATTGTCATTTAAAATACATCTTTTATACTACAAATTGCTTAAAATTCAGTAACTTTTTGTTAAATCTCGCAACACCGTCGGCGGCGACAGTATCTTCGAACCAGTGTAGACATCGTCAAAGGTTCGTTCGACAATAGTAACAAGCAATCGCAATCAGAAGAACCGCTGGCGCATGTATGCTGACTTTTTAACCTTGTACATCCTAAATATAAATATATAAAGCAAAAAAAAATAAAGCAGTCCAAATTCTGGGATAAAACTAATAACAAATATCTGAAATCAACATAATTTGTCTTGTCTTTATGATGTTCTCTTTAAACTGCATGATGTATTTTTTATTATTTACATATAAAATGTTAGCTCCACACTAGAATTTTCTCCTGTATCATGGGGCAGTTGACCAACAAATTTCTCAAGGACAAACACTCGGAACAATTATTTGCAGGCCATACAAATATTTGTTACGTGAGGGAATCAAACCCGTGGCCCTCAGCGCTGCTATTACTGATTGCTAAGCCACTGCGTCACAGAGCCGTCGAAATTAGCTGTAATGGTTTTATGAAAAGATAACGTAGACATACCTGGAAGAAGTCATATTTGAGGAAGTCTCTAAGTGGCTTGTATGAAGGAACATTCCACCAAGCGTTGTGGTAGAGGTTGAGAACTGTGAGCACCAGCACCAACATCAGCGCAGAGAGCTTGGTTCTGTAGCCCACTGTCACAAGGATCATGAGGATGCTGCCAAGAATATCTTGAATGATCTGAAATTGAATATAATAATTTATTTTTGTTTGTTTGTATTTTATGCGCTGCCATAGCGTTCATCAGATTGCGCTAAAACTTTGTCAACTTATTGCTTGCGCTAGTGAGAAGGCTATTGGCATGATACAAATAACTTACAATAGGTGGCGCGCGTATCGTACCGACTTTATTAGAAAGTTATACATCAATCAACTTTAATGATTGTACTATCATTCTCATTAAACAATATAACTCTTCCAAATTTAAAACAATATTTTGACAATTACTTTTTCTGTGGCAGCAACGTACCGTGTACCAGATAGGTTATTGATATATTTAAGGGCAGCTAGAGGTAATTACAATAATACATGTTCACAAATATAATATATAAACTTAATTTTAAATGTAAAACCTATTTAAGGCAGTTACAACATGCTTCACACAAAGAGTAAAATTACTAAACAATATTGGAAAAGAGAAAAAAAAAAAGTCCCGCTGGGTTTCTTGCTGGTTCTTCCCAGGACAGAGGTTTTTTTTTCGAACCAGTGGTAATCATACAAAAGAGTGACTTTCAATAAGTATTATTTATAATCTATATTGAATAAAAAGTTTTTGTTTCTGTTTCTGGTGCCAGATTTATAACATAAATCACAAAAAATTAGAAACATAACCTAAAAAAAAATTATAAAGTAAGAAATACTAAACACGACACAAGGAAACATGATAATAATCAGAAAAATTAAATAACAAAATTAACATTTTATATTATAGAAGTCTTAAATTCTGTACCACTGTTTGTTTTTTTTATAACGAGGGCAAGGAAATCGCTAAAAGCATAAGAAAACACTCTGTTCAAATACAAATTGTAAATTATACAAATATTTTTTTACCAAGAGGAATTGAACGCATGGTATGCCATCTAAACGCTTAGCGACTGTGCTACCGAGCTGTATAATTTATCCAATATAATTGTGTATTGCACGCCTCATAACGCGAAGGGTTATAGATGTGTTCTACTCTCGACACGTCAAGTTAAAGCAATTTTGTGTACTTAAAATGCCTCTATCATAACCAAATTGCACTTATACGATAATATGAGTAGTCATATATCAAGAAAACATACTAATTAATCCATCTTATATTTTCTAAAAAATTATTTTGCTAGCTACTTTGGAAAAAAATTACGTTGACGTCCTGATGTTGATTTTGTATGTGGTCACGATAACTCCCGAAAAAAGTGACGTATCGAGACCGGGTTCCGTTTATTAGCTTCAGAATTACATTCAACTGGTTTCCTATTTCATATCAATAGCCTAGTATGCGTAGATTGTTAATAAAATGATTTTCACCTTTTATGTCCAATTGCTATTAAAAATTTAAAGTAACTGTCATATATTTTTTCAGCATTTGATAGACAAAGGAAAAATGTACCATACAGCCTATATCAATTTCATAATTTGTGTACTCGATTTATTTTGGTAAACATTATTATTTTTCCCTGTAGGTAGGTAGACTTACTACCTGTTAAAATAATAGCGCACTAAATGTAATATACATAAATAACATATTTTAAAGGCAGGAATAAAATTTATTTTTTCATCAAAATTAAATGATGCGTGAACTTTTAGATTTTGCAAACTAGTTTTATATATAACTAGCTGATCCCCGCGACTTCGCCCGCGTGTTATTTGGGGTTTTTTTTTTTGCGCGGAACTCTAATTCTTTTCCTAAAATAAGAGTAGCCTAAGTTACTTTTTGTGACATCAGCTATCTGCCAGTGAAAATCCCGTCAAAATCCGTCCAGCCGTTTCAGAGATTAGCCGGAACAAACAGACAGACACACAAAAACTTTTAAAATTGTATTTTTGTTATTAGTACCGTATATATAGTATTTCAAATGCATTTAGTAAAAAGCTGTAATTTTGACATTACAAACAGACTCTTCAATTTTATTTATTTGTATAGATTATTCTCAATGTATTGGCGGCATTTGAGAATCTACTGCCCCATAATATCATCCCGTCGGAGTCATAGGACAGAAGGCAATGAAACAGGAGATGGGCAGCAGAATCCCTACTTGACACTGGCAGAATTATATCAAGGGAAGCCATATTTTAAAAGAAGAAGAAGAAATATTCACCAGTGAGGCAACCTATAGACCTATATTTAGCGGTGGACTTTTGATAGGCTGTATGAATGAACTTTTACATAAAATTAGACCTACGAAAGTCTAGACTTGCGATCGTAAATCCGCCTGACAAACGTGATGATTGGGGCATAACCTCCCTACAAACGGAGAGGGCAAAAAGCGGACTTTTAAGATCTGATAGTTGATCTTAGACTTTCAAATAGACATATTTACCTGCACAAAGGATATTTCGAATCTCAACAACGTGATGAACATAAAAGCAAGCAGGATACGTCCCGCAAGCTGCAGATATGTCTTCGGTTTGTTCTCGCCGAGGGACGGCACTCCGGCGAAGAGGCTTCGCCCCTCCGCTCGGGCCTCTGCTAACACCAGCAGCAGAGCACCAATGAGGGCCAGGTTACGAAGCAAGAACTGCATGTCCCACAGTATACTGTATGCGAATGTCTGAAATTTGGTTAATAAAATAAAATTAATATGATAACAAGATGTTAACTTATTAACATCTTGCAACTGTATATGTAAAAAAATACAGTATAACATTGGCAAACAACCACATAGTCTATATGATGGTAAGTGATTACTGTGGCCTATACACATCTATATCTATCCTTGATTAAGAATCAAAATGCAGATGCATTGTCACCCCTGAAGACTAAGGTGGCACATGCCTTGTTTTCAGTGAAATGGGTCTCCAGTTCTTTACACTCACCATACGAAACACAGCGTCACTAAGCTACTATTTTATGTAGGTGTTCTATGAGAGCGTGGTCCTTTCCCGGTGGAGCCGACAACTTCATGCTGCAACTATAAATTTGCTGCAGCATGGCTCTGCCACATATGTAGACAACATGTATATTGGGAGTGCCTGATTTTTTACCTATTAGAAACTAGTGCTTGAGTACTATCCCACTTTATCATTACAAAAATAAAGGAGCCAAGCAAGCACAGTCTCCATGGTGATGGATGTAGTGGCTCATAGACAATATCTAACCCCGATAAAAAATCTAACTACAGATGTACCCTGTCACCCCTGAGGGACAAGATAAGTGATTCTTCACTAAAATTAAAAAGGTGATGGTAAATCATGAAATCTTAGCGTAAAGCTTTTGCTACGAATTCAGACACTTTCCAATATTATATTCAATTTATCAATAATGATGCAATCCTTCAGGTCAGCACATTATAAGGAAATTGTAATTGCCCCCACATATTCACTTTCATTGCGATTCGCGAAAGAAATAAGTCATATTTTTATCACTACGTAAGGAATATCATTTAGAAACGTAGTAGATTAAAAAATGACTTTTGTTGGTGTATCAAATAAGTAAGTTTCATGTCATGCTGTGCGACAAAAATTAGTTGCGAGGGGACTATACTAAGATCATTGTTAAAGTCTGCAATTTAAAAATGAATCAAGACTTCGAACGCCAAATGTCCTTGACCATGCATTTAATAATGCCAAATATCATCTTTAAATATAAAAATCTATTTCCGTGATTTATTTGAAAATGGCACGACCGATTTTGATGAAACTTTTTGCCTGTAATTGATTGGAACTCTGGATGGTTTAAATTCACAATTGGACGCGGTAGGTGGCACTGTTGTCGAGATCCAGAAATCACCCGCGCGAAGCCGAGGCGGAACGCCAGTTAAAAATATTTTTTAGGTTGAGCGACCTATACTCCGAAGGGCGATAGTCGTTAAGACGCAATAAAAAAAAAACATTTGATCGGTCGCTGCGTATTTGGCCGAAAGATTGAACACTACACTCGAATTATGTATGTATTCCGCGCCAAGAACGTGACAATGTATAATAATGCAGACAAATAAGTGGATTATTTATTTTTAAATTGTTGACTTCCAATGCAACATAATGTTTCATATTGATTTATAATTTACAAGCCCTACCAAGTGATTCTTGAATTTGCCTGATGCAGCGAATGCATTTATGTTATTCAGATCTTAATTTTCATTTTTTTTAAATCTTTTGGAGGATACTTTACCATAGTTCGATGAAACAAAGAATATTATGGACTGCATATTTTAAGCCCGGGACTAACATTTGCATTAGTGTAGAGCAACGAATTCAAAACACTACACTAAGTAACTAAACTATATAGAATAGAATAGAATAATTTTTTATTCAATATACATTACATGTGTAATTCTTATTGACAGTCATTTTTTACTTTACCACTGGTTCGAAAAAAAACCCTCTGTCCTGGGAAGAACTAGCAAGAAACCCAGCGGGACTTTTTTTTTAAATAATTTTTTTTTAATTTTTTTATATTAAACTAAATTATAGTTAAGGGTCGCTCTACACTAGTGTACCTTGGCCTTGACCCTTATATATACTCCCATGTAGTGTCCGTAGAACCATTACCTCACAATATCATCCCGTGGATTTTGTAAGAGGCGATACGGAGAAATAAAAGAGGTGAAGAATAAATTAGGTACGTAACATTATTGCGGGTTATGCGAGTACGTGCCCAACATTAGATATTTAACCTACTTCAAAAAGGAGGAGGTTCTGAATTCAATGTATGTTTTTTTTGTATGTATGTTACGCGATATCTTTCGCAGATTTTGGACCAATTTTGATGATTCTTTTTTTATTAAATAGGTAGGTACTTCTACGGAGGTCCCAAATAAATTTGGAGAAAAAAAAAATCCACTCCTAAGGGTAACAAATAAATAACCTAATTTTTACCAAGTTGAAGTCGGTTTTTACTTTTTGTTAAAAGATATAATAATCATTATTTCCTTTAAAGCTCGCCATTAAAATGATTAGTGCATATATCCCCATTCTTCTATTGTTCCTAAAAGGTTTTAAATGCGTCATGGCGATGTAAGAATATCCACTACTACCCCATTGCGTCCCGTGGGTGTAGTAAGAGGCGACAGAGGGAATCTAAAACAGGAGATGGGCAGCAGCATTTTTCTAATAACAACTCATTAACCAAAAAAAACCGCCTTCCAACCGTTGTAATTGTGACAAATATTATCCCGAGGAAATAAAATTACGGGGGAATCATATTTTCTGCTGTGGACATTTATAGGCTGTAATGAAAGAATAAAAAAATATATTCAAAGATAAACTATCATCATAAATCAACTACAATATTTTAACAAATTAATAAAATACAACTGCCACGCCAATGTGAAAATAATAATAATTATTGAAATATTATATAGAGATATTTCAAAAATTGCAACACACGAAAAACACACGTGGTAGAGCCATGCTGCAGCTATATTTCTGGTATAGCTGTAGCACGAATGGGTCGGCTCGACCGGGGAAGGACCACGCTCTCACAGAATACCTGCGTAAAATAGCAGCTTAATGCTGCTGTGTTTCGTATGGTGAGTGTAGAGAACCGGAGACCCTTTTTACTGGAAATGAGGCATTCATCTTAATCCTCACGGGTGACAACGCATCTGCATTTTGATTCGTAATCGAGGATAGATGTAGATGTCTATGGGCCGCAGCAACAACTTACCATCAGGTGGACTGTGTGCTCGTTTGTCATCCTTATCCTATAAAAAAACAATCGCGTCAAAGCGTCATAGCATCAAAAATATTGTCATGAAAAAACACTAGAATGTCTTCGGAATGAAAAAACTGGATGTGAAGTCCATAGTTTTTAGACAAATTGTTATTCGTTGCATACGGCCATTTTACCGCGATGTAATATTAATATGACTTTTTTTACCTGCAAAACCACAATAAAGAACAGTATTCCACACGCGATGTCCACCTTCAGCCTGCCCAGCACCATTACACAACCGCCCAGTTGTCCAAATAAATTTACAATCTGCAAAAAAAAAAACATTTTATCAAATCATTCACACAAAAAATAGGAATGCGTAATTTTTTCTTTCAAATTGCACGTTTTTTACGTTTCCGTGTATTGTATATACTTATTACTATACGATTATCTACTTGACGCATTCCGAATAGACTTGAAGACAGAAAGGCCACACAAAATATTTTTCCGAAGAACCTTTATAGACCGTACTTTCAATTCAAGAAGAGACAATATAACATACCTATGTAGATTGTTTAAAAAAAAACTATTATAACTGTGGGTATGTCATAGTAGTACTATTAATGGTTTTCTCCATAGTCGATTTGTCATAAATTAATGGTTTTCTCCATAGTCGATTCTATCATAGTACCCTACGACATCTCAGATTATTTTCGACAACATTTTATGACAAATCGACTATGGAGAAAACCATTAATTTGTGCGCTGCTCAAACACATTGCCATCCCTTAGATTGGTATCTACGGCATTCAAATTCCGTAAAGCAGTGGTTTAGCAATGAGTAGCGGGTTTGAATCCCGCACGGAACAATTATTTGTATGGCCTACAAATAATTGTTCCGGGTCTGGATGTTTGTCCTTGTGCAATTTATATTTGTTAACTGCCTCCACGATACAGGAGAAGATAGATGAGGAAGATAGAGTGAGGGGAACTTTAAAAAAAAAGAAACGCGTATCCGCACGATCTCTGATCTCTAAAGATTGTTGCTATTATAAGTAGTAATGATTTAACAATATGCCTCCATGCCTGTACAATAACTTGACAATGCTCACATGTATGAAACATCTATCTGCATTCACACGCCATTATTTCGGGACATTAATACCAAAAATTTAAGAATAATAGAAGCATAACGTAAGCTTTTTAACGAGGTTGAGCCATGCGTCAGCTATATTATGGTTGTATCACAAATGGGTCGCGGCTCGACAGATGAAGAACCACGCTTTCACTGCTGCACGCTTCACTATACCAGCGCAAAATAGGAGATTCAGCATTAATCTGCTATTTCACGCTGATATTCTGTTTTTATTTCTGCGTTTCGTATGGTAATTGTAGAGAATCGAGGACCCTTTTTACTGGAAACGAAGCATTCCACCTTAGCCCTCACGCGTGACAACGAATCTGCATTTTGATTTTTAATCAAGTATAGATTTAGATGTCTATGGGCTGCAGATAACAAGTACCATCAGGAGAAATGTGTGCCCGTTTGTAACCCTCATACTACTTCTCGTAGGACCAACTTTGGATTCGTTTACAAGATGCGATCTTATGCGCTAGATAGTTCACTAGACAATCGTATTAGATTGGAACTAACTAACTGCCTAACTGCCTCTATACAATATGAAGTTAGCTAGGTTTCTTATCGCTCCGCAAATTGGGTAATGTCGATAATAATGTAATTAGTTATACCAGTTACTCGACTCTAAAGAGTTAATAATGTATACGCTTTTACAACAAAGTCCCAGAAAATTTACAGACCTTATCTATCAAAATGTTTAAAATATTTACTAACCAAAAATTGTCTAGTAAGGGTTATTATACTACTAAAGAGTACATGACTGATACTCCCGCATCTCATAGCTCGAACTGAATAATGTAATATAAGAACTGTGATAAAAAAAAAACTAAAACTAGCAACTTAATACGAGTAATAAGTCATATATTTTATGTAATGTAATTTATGTAATATATTTTGTCAAATCATTATAAATGAATATACAAGTTCATTTACTTCCTTTGTCCGTTGTATATTTGTATATATTTTAAGACAATCGTTTCTCAGGAGTAAACTTCAGTCACGCGTCGGAGCACAATTTTTTTTTATTATTTACTACTAGCTGTTCACCGCGACTTCGCCCGCGTGTAATTTATTACGATTGGATTTTATCGGTTTTAATTCGTTTACGCGGAACCCTAATATTTTTTCTAAATTAAAAGTAGCCTAAGTTACTCTTTATAACATCAGCTTTCAGGCAGTGAAAATCCCGTAAAAATCGGTCCAGCCACTTCGGAGATTAGCCGGAAAAAGCAGACGGAGACAGACAAAACATTTAAAAATTGTGTTATTGTCATAAGTTTATAAAAATTGTGTTTTTACGTGGTAGAGCCATGCTCACGTGGTAGAGCCATGCGTACGTGGTAGAGCCATGCTGCAGCTATATTTCTGGTATAGTTGTAGCACGAATGGGTCGGCTCGACCGGGGAAGGACAACGCTCTCACAGAATACCTGCGTAAAATAGCAGCTTAATGCTGCTGTGTTTCGTGTGGTGAGTGTAGAGAACCAGAGACCCTCTTTACGAAGAGACATTCTATCTTAGTCCTCACGGCTGGCAACGCATCTGCATTTGAATTCGCAAACGAAGATAGTTGTAGATGTCTATGAGCCACAGCAACCACTTACCATCAGGTGGACTGTGTGCTCGTTTGTCACCCTTATTCTATAAAAAAAAAATACCGTATATACTTTCATATGCGTTTAGTAAAAATCTGTTATTTTGACATTACAAACAGACACTTTTTATTTATTTGTATAGATTTTACAAAAGCGGTATAATAAGTAGGAAATATCCAAAATACAATATTTAAAAAATAAAGGTAGGCGAGGTAAGCGGATTTCGAAATTGAAAACTAAAATTAGTTTCTGTGCTCCTCTCTCCTGTCCTTTTTTTTCTTTTTATTGTAAGTTTAATTTGTCAAAACTTAGTAAAGTGATTTTTGAAAACGAAACCTTAGAACAATAAAATGTCATTACATCATTATTTTACTATATTATCACCAACGCCTGTTGAACTAGCTCAACTATCAAAATATTAGGTTAAACCGTTCCGTCTTCAAGTCAAAATATATTCGTATCACTCACAGTCCGAAAGTGAAATTGAAGAGCGGGCCACCTTCACTTTCGTTGACACAGTCGTCTCGACCCAGTTACCGTCCGCATAAAAAAAAAGTAACATTGGATGATACAAAAAGTGAGCGGTTTTTGACGAGCGGCGCTTTAAGAATTATTAGATGAAATTGTCAAATAATTTGCAGAATATATTATTTTAGTGCAGGGTTTCCCAACCTTTTTTTGACCAGGGATCATCACTTTGATTTCTTTGTTGTTAGCAGGGAAAAAAAAACGATTTTAATCTAATAATACATTTTAATCACAATTTTTAACATAATTGGGTATACAATTAACTGAAAAGAAGCATTCATTCACAGTATTATTTGTGTATTTATTAAAGTAAGAAAAGAAATTAAACAGGTTTGGTAAATAATAGCGATTTTGATTGCGACGTAACACGCGGTGTTTCACTGCCCGCGTGGCGAGAAAATAATATATAATATGTTATTTAAAAGGATTAGGTAGGTAAAATATTTAAATTTTTCGCGGCCCATATTTAAGCTCTTGCGGACCACTGGTTGGGAATCACTGTTTTAATGCAATAAGTTTAACATGCCAGAATGCTTTTGAAATGATTTTCAAAATGTTAGTGGCAGCCCGCGGTCAGGCAGGTGGTGTTTCAACCGCGTGCCTTGGAACATAAAGCCGTTAGCCATACGCGTGATCTCTCTCCAGATGTGTATGAACTATGAAACCGAAGAAATAGAGAGTACTTGTACTTGCGCAAAGACTCGTGTCCTATAATCTGACCTGCATAGATGGCTAGTTAGTCTCCGTTGCGATTAACCACTGTGACCGAAATTCGTTGTGTAGGATAATATTTATTTTACACAAATTAAATTGGCCTAATCCTAAATAATTGCATTTTATAAGAACACACTCAACATTCCATACAAATGAATACATTTGATGATTTGGCACATTGTGTGTGAGCGTGGTTATTGTAGGAGTGAGCTAAGCCTCGAGCGGGACAAGGATAGCGATCAGCGATATACGTAAGACCACAGAACGTAACACATCGAACACGATGACGTAAAGCATAATTAAAATAACTAGTATTTCATGTTTTATTCACTTCAATTTTGGTTGGTAACTGTAATGTAATGAAAACAGCAAAAAAATTCAATTATCATATTATATCTACATACTTAATAATGAATAAATGTAATTGGTAGAAAATAAAAGAATGATATAAAATAGTTTTAAATTAATTAAACTTTAATTACGTAAAAAATACTTTAGCAGTACTTTAACAGTGGTAGAGCCACGCGGCAGCTTTTGCTGTCGCACGGATGGGCCCGCTCGAACGGCGGTGGTACCACGACCTCACAGAAAACCAGCGTGAAGTAGAAGTTTACCTCTGCGTTTCGCTTGGTGACTGCAGGTGGCCGTAGGCCCTTTTTACTGGAAATGAAGCATTCCATCTTAGTCCTCACGGGTGACAACGCATCTACATTTTGATTTGTAACAGAGGATAGATGTAGATGTCTATGGGCCGCAGCAACCACTTACCATCAGGTGGACTGTGTGCTCTTTTGTCACCCTTATCCTATAAAAAAAAAGCAATGACACATTTTTATAGAAAACTTGCTGGTACACGGCGCGTTACTGCCGCAGAAAAAATATATGTGGAAATAATGTTTTAAATTTGGAAGGGTTATATTGTTTAATTAGGAATGATAATATATTCATTGAAATTGAATGACATATTATGGCTTAAATAAATATGTCGGTACGACACGCGCGCCACCTACTGTATGTTGATAATACTATGCAAGTGCAAGCAATAAATTGATAAAACTTTAGCGCATCTGATGAACGGTATGGCAGCGCATAAAGAAAACTAATTTTTAATATATTAGATGATATTTACCTATCGTGAAACAACATTGGTGACCCGAATTTGGTTAAAACCAATCTTACCAGCCTCCAACACAGGCGTAAAGTAGCCAGCCTTTCGGTTTTCTACAGAATGCATTTCGGAGAGTGTGCGCAGGAAATGCATAATTTAATTCTACACCATCGGACAACCAGACCTTCGGCCAGTCTCCACCATTTCGTTGTTGACTTACCACGCATTCGAACCAAACGGTTCGC